GGGGGTGGGGGTGGGGGGTGAGGGGCGGTCCTGCTGATGCAATTGCAAATTGTAAACCTCTATGCTGTCCATGTTGTAGCACAAACGCCACTTGTGTTGCAGCCAGTGCTGCCGCCTCCTGAAGGTTCACAACCACCACACTTCTATTCAATCTAAGTGTCAACAACATTCTTAAAGACGAACAATTTTGTCTATAATTTCAACAAAAACCTTCAAGCCTTGTCTGTTTTAAACTACTTATTTAAGAGATGGCTTCAGAAGAGTCCTGTTCTTTAAATTTTAAAATAGACAGAATTTCAGTTTCCAAATCATTCATGACTTGCAACACCTACAGTTGTTAAGAGAAAATTTTCAAAAATACAACCAAAGAACATAATTACCAACCAACCTGTCTTTGTCGACGACGTTGCAGGATACTGATGGCCCAAGCCATGATGTAGCATGGTAGAAGAAAACCAGCAGCACGAAGCAAGAAAATCTGTCAAAGGTACATCCATATTATAAATATCCATCCGATTATACTATTGTTCTTTCAAATTTAAGAAAACAAATTCCCATCTTGCTTACAGAGAAAAAGGCAGCTGCGTCGTCGTCATCACCGTCTGGATCAGTTATGGTCAATGCGTGTCGCAGAAGGAGAAGGGCTAATAGCTAGCCAGTAAAATCAAATACTTCATCAATCATCAGAGTTTCATGGAAAATACAAGAGTTCTACGAACTAACATGAGAAAACTTACAATAAGGGCAGCTGATCGGCAAAATGCAGCTCCACTATCATTTGAAGCAGCATAATCATCATATTCAGCTTCCAAGAAATTACGTTCTGCCTCCGCAATGGCCAATAGCCGAGTATCTCTAAGGTCTAACGGGTTACCAGCGATAGTCCATCGTCCCCTGTGCATATCCACATCCAGGTCAGTATTTCAAATGCGTGTACAAATTACATGAAAATAAAACGGTTGTGGGTGTTCAGATGCATGATTATTGATAAGGCCATTCACATGCAAATTGCAAATAACAAAAAGGTTGAACTTACTCCATATCAATCACAGTTTCTTCAGAACGAAGGGGTGCAGAATATCCAGGTTGATAAGACTGGCAATTGAATAAAGCGTACCGGAATATCAATCAATGAGGAATTAAAACAAGAAAAACATCATCAGAAAAGAAACTGCAAATGAAAATCACATGATATTGATAAGGCATACAAAAAAAATCCAAGCCCACAAAAAGAGTTCACCTAAATGAAGGAGCTCCAATCAATTATAATGAAATCTACAGAATAATACAAAAAATCCTCACGCCAAAACCCAAAGAGAAGCATTCAGAGTCAAACCAACGCACTATGGGAAACAAAGCCCAACAAACATTCCATGCCTGAAAGGTCCAGACTTCGCATGGAATAAGCTAAAGGATCAATGTTAAAATAACAAAGATAAAGGGGAAAGAATCACAGACAGAGGAGAAAAAGAGTCCAATGTCCTGAATTGAGAGCCCCACGCTCAAAATTTGGTAAGACTAAAACATCGAACCAACTTTTCATTTAACAAACGAAGTTCCAACAGTGAGAAATATGTCTTAAGACATAAGTCTGAGGAAACATCAATGCCTCCCTTGATGCCAATGCCTCATCCATCATCACACTTCAACACAAATGAACCTGCATCTTCACGGTAGACACTCCTTACCTCTACCATCTCTGACAGACAGCATATTCGAAGTAGCATCCACATTCCTTTTGGTTAAGCATGAGGAAGGAAGAATCCACCAATTGACATGCTGCTCATCTTCTCCTCAAGGAGTTGGAACAATCTTCTATGATGTCAGATTCAAACTATCCACAGAGGAATCCAGCCCATTGCAAAAAGATCCAAATCATTGTGTGCGCTATAGTAAACCACTGACCACTGTTATGGTTTTCTCAGAGATGAATGTATCAAAGGAAAAGACGAACAAAAGGTATGGCTCGGAGAGGATAGACAAAGAGATTGGTCGAGAGTAGAGACAATCAGACAAGTACAAAGAGAAGTAAACGGGCAAGAGTCTCCAATCATCCATGAGGTTTCTAAAGTAGCAAAGTCTCATTCTCGAGTTTTACAGTTTTCTCCTACAACAGCAACCCTAGCAAATTGTGAATCATATGGTTTTTCCCTTTCATTTGCAAGTCCCCAACATGGAAAATAGATTTTTAAAATACAAAAGTAAAAAGATCGAGAGGCATGCGCTATACACCTCATTTAAAGTTAAAAATAAAACCATCAGCTGCATGCCTTATAGAGAGGCGAGGTGCCCGACTTAAGCGTTCATTTTTTTATGCACATTTTAATCACTAATAATGAAAATTTTGGACTACCGGTGTAAAGCATGCCTTTTTTAAAAATTCAAAGAGTAATGAGTTCAACAAAAATATACTAGGAGGAAAACTTGCACGGAAGCTAAAGTATAAAGATAATATTAGCAGCTTATTTGAAATTTTTTTATAAAATAATACTATAATAGTCGAAATATCAAATCAAAACATCATGCATACCTGATGACATATCTCACAAGTTATGTCCCCTTTCTCATTGCACCAATGTTGAACGCACTTCCTATGAGCATACTGAACACAAACATTCATCAGACACGTGCAAAAGATTAATAAACAAGCAAGCCCGATAAATTTTCCTATACTAGATCATATTGGTCAATTCTAAGGGCATAACCAAACTTAGTTACATTCTGGAGATAAAAGAATAGAGTTCATGGATCACTATAATTCTACCATGCATCATGAATGATAACCATAATTCGTGTTAAATTTTATCAAGCCACTTTATAACTCAGATACAGCACATACCACCACATAACAGCTCATAAAATGTCCCATCGATCATAGAAATTTATACAAACAAAAGAGTTTAGGCAAAAGCATTACTCTTATCACGAAACTATTAGACGGGGATGATATTAAATGTCACAAACGAAGCATTGGGGAAAATTTTATAAAGAAATATTCAATTGACCAAACAAAGAATAAAAGAAATGACCACCAAACAACAAATTATTTCGTGCACTTCATTCCAGTCCTCCCCACATCAATGATGTAAATCCTCTCAAGATATGAGCATGTCAATTCTCAACAAGACACTGTAAAATTCAGGCAAACTCTCATCCATCACAGTTTTGGAAAATACTAGATAAACTTGTTATTGTATGTCTTTTTCCAGCTTGCTTCCGCGAAAACTAAACCACATTGGAAGCAACACAAAAATTGACCAAAAAAAACAAAAATGAAAGCAATAAATATAGACTTGAACCCATCCCAAAGACAGTAAAAAGAAGAAAGTTACTAAACCCAAATGAAACAGTATGAAAGAACTATATCCAAAGCTTCCAATTCAGCAAAAACACCATTCATAAATCCAAATGAAACAGTATTGACCTTAAGACTACCACTACACGCGCAGGGAGTTTCTAAATTATTGAGAGTGTCTTCTTCCTGACAAATGCGACACTCCGCCGCCTGAATCAGAGGGTCCTCCTCATTGGGTGCATCCTGCTCCACCGTCCGATCATCCGCAGTGGCAGTAGAAGACGAAGGAATAGCCGCAGCCGAGTCAGAAACACCCTCACGCGGTGCGGAAGGAACCGGGTCAACCGGGTCGGACACAGGTTGAACTGGAGCAACTGGTGGAATCAAATGGTCAACATACAGGACAAGATGATCGCTCATTGTCCTCAAAACCCCTATATCACCAAAAACCCAACTCAGGCGATCAATTCAAGAAAAGAAAGAAACCCTACAGAGGCGAAAGGATCAATTAGAGGAGGAAAAGAAGCGAGAAAGAAGAGGAATAGAGTGAATTGAGAAGACAAAAAAATGAAGGAGAAAAGGAAAAACAAAGGTGGAAGAGGAAGAGAAAACGCGTTAGGTGCGGAATGGAAAGGAAAATGGAAGATGGGTAAGTCCGCGTTTTGTACAAGATTCCACAAAAAACTAAAAAAAGAAGGAATTTGGAGGCGAGTGGACCTGATTGGCTATGTACAGGCGGAGTTTTCTTCGCTCCAAACTTCCTCCATTCCAATCCAACGCCCTCAACCTTATTTTCATAAATGCGCCTCAAGTCTATCTACGTCCTGTGCCCTGCCTCAATTTTCTTTTTTTTTTTCTTTTTTTTTTCTTTTCAATTTTGAATTCAAATATTTTGGTTGGGACCTCTTTTATAAGAAAATTTTAAATATAGTTTAGTACACATTTACCTAAATAAATACGCGAAATTAAAGGACTCGAACACACGAAAACTATGTAATCTAAACATGGCTCAACAAATCACGAAAGTTATCATGTATATCAAAACTACATCAAAACAATTCAAGTCAACAACATCAAAGATAAAATATACAGAAAATTCTCTAAAACATTAATTTTAAGGCATTGTTATTAATTCTTTTAGAACTTGGTAAGTATCAATCTTCTTTGTTTTCTTTTGGAAGAATGTATCCAAACTCAATCATCCAACTTTTATCCTTTGTTAATTATGGAAGCAATGTTGAAGTTTTTTTTTTTTTTTCTCAATTCATCTCATCAAGCTTACCTCTCATGTTTTATGTAATAACTCAATAATTAGAAAATTTAAAAATAAAAAAGAAAAAAAAAAGTTGTCTCACATCTCGAGAAGTGGGGTTTGGCCTCCACTATAAAAGGGAGACCCCTCACTTGAACCGTTAGAGCAAGTCGGAGAATACACTTTTTGATAGCTCAAGGGTAACATGATATGAACCCAGAGACATCAATCATACAATATACTTCAATGAAGATGGGAAGAAAATGAGAAGATATTTCAATGTGGCACATTGAAGAAAATGAAGTTTCATTATTATAAATTTTGGAGAGTAATTTAGAGTTATTGTATTTCATTAATATAGAGTTATTATAATATTTCATTAATATACTTTTCATTTTGAGGCTACAAAATCATGTATGTTGTATTTGTAAGTAGACTTGGAAAATGTAGTAAAAGAAGCCTTTGTGCTTTCCTTTAACTAATAGTAAGATTCTTTTGCAATTATGCCTAGTATAGGTTACATGTAGAATCAATCATTCAAGCTCGACATGATCAATCTTACTTGTGAAGTGATTAGAATCTCAAACAAGTGTTCTTGCCTTGAGATATTTAATCAACAGGAATCATTCAAGCTAGACATGATCGATCTTGCTTGTAGAGTGATTTGAATCTCAAACAATGTTTTTGCCTTGAGATCTTCGATCAACAAGGTAATCTGAATCTTATTCCCCTTGTCGTGATTTTCTTGTCATTGACATCAGAACCTTTCTCTTAGGCTGATTTCGTTTTCCCTTAGGTTGATTCCTTATCACAACATATTGGTTGATCCGACTTGGGTCTGATATGCTCGGACCCTTTCCTCCTAATTTCAATTCTTGTTTATGGTTAGTACGACCACCTTTTGGCTAGTTAAATTTTTTGGAGTGAAGTTTAAATTATTAGGAGTAAGTTTAAATTATACGACCAGCTTTTGGCGAGTTAAATTTTTGGAATCAAGTTTAAATTATTAGAAGTAGGCCTAAATTATTTTAGGCAAACCTAGGTGAACCAATTCAGTAGAATTTTAATTTATAATGGTTGTACTCTAGGAAGAATTAAAATTTAGAGAGCAGTGTTAAACTAACGTCCAAGGGTCATAGTAGATTCGGCCTAGGCTAGCCAAGTAATTGTCCTTATCGTTGTTTGGTTATTATTGTGTGCTTTATGATGACACGTGTTCGTGATATGCCCGTATATACATACTGTTGTGAAATGATATGTATATGTTATGATACTTAAATGTATTATTGTAGTTGATGAATTGATAGGTTTATGATATGATATGTTACGAACACATGCTCAGGATATGTTATATGACTGTTATGATATATGATATGATATGATGTGATATGTGTATGATGTGAATGGTTATGTCTGGAAGCATGAAAACCTTTATGATATAGCATATGTGCAACATGAATGATATGATATATTGACATGCAAAATGACGAATTGGCATGAAATACAACCCGATACACGCATGAAAGATATGAGAAAAGATATGAAAAATGATATGATATGAAGAAGACGCTGGCGGGTTATATTGAATGATAATGAAAATGAAAAAATGTTGGGAACTCATGCATTATTGTGTACTCATGCAACAAGGGATACCCTACTCACGCGTACATTACGAGGCAGAGAAACGATCATTATGTTTATCATAATGATGTCATGACAGTCGCTATTCCTAACGGGTGTCTGGCATCAATAGCCACTAAAGAATGCTCGCCCGACCAGAAAGGGGCCCAAGAGGTGTGCAAATCGACTGGTGGGTCCATACTCACTCGTGTGGATCGTTATAGGGAAATCAAGTACACATCCAAGTTGTCCGCTAGGATAACCACGACAGGAAAATAGACTGTTATAATAAGTTTCATTCATGAAATTGTATGTGTAACATTTAACCTCGATATGGAGTCGCATACTGAGTATTTCTTAAATTACTCAAGTCATGTGATACTTTCATTTTTCAAGTAAAGGCAAGACATTCTTGTACGACTGACGACAGCACCGCAATTCGAGACCATGACACATGTATAGGGTAGTTACATTTAATTTCTTACACTTAGGTTAGAATAGGATGTTTTTAACTTCAATGTTTATTTATTTCATTTAGTATTGTGATGTGTCGTTTTAAAGATGTTTTCAAACACACAAGTCCATGTCAGTGTTTTAAGATGAAGTTTATGTTTTATGATAAATTTTAAACGCTTATTCCCGCACAATATGATTACGTTATGATGACGGTAGCGACTCTAAGCAAGTAGAAATTTAGGGTCATTACATTTTATCGAAGAATAACTATTCAAATAACCATTATACATAATCTTCCTGTCAAATTGTTAAGATCGGTCAACTAATATGTTTTCAACAAACATAGGTAACACATCATCTTTATCTTTATACTTTTACAAAGTAAAAGAAATTAAACCTTGTACTCTTTATACTTTCATTGTTGTACTATCAATAAGTCATTGAAGCTTGTGACATATAGGATGGTAGTGGGTTGGAATTGCAACTTTTAGATCAACATAGTACTTATTACATTAGTTCACATTCTACTATTAATAACAGGAGTACAAGGAGTAAGTTATGTATGAAATTACCAAAACTCCCCTCCCCTAGGATGACATTTTGGGATGAATATTGTCTTATGCATACCGTGCTTTATATGATTGTTAGGATTAACCCTTAACGTAGCATATGCAAGAGAATCAAGTTAAGAGTGGAAGAATTTAAATATTTGTACACCCAGAGAATGGATTAGCCTTAAGAGTTAATCCTAAACGTCCTGGCAATGAGAGACGAGATTTAACTAGCCTAGACACCCCTAAGAACCTAGTAAACCTCCACAACATCCAAGAATGATCAAGGTGTCTCTCCAAGTTATTAGCAGTATGAACAATGTCATCAGAGTCTCTACTACCATTTCCACTCTGATACCAATATTGTCAAGCTAGACCTAGACCGATTAGGGTAGTGCGTTAAGACGACTAGGTGCCCAAACCTTGTGAAAATGATCATGGGTCTTGTGAAAATGATCCTTGTGTTTCCATCTTGAGAGGGAACATGGGGCCACATAGGTTTACCCTAGGTGGTACATGTGGGGTGTTCTCCCAAACTTAGGTGACTGTATGGTTCTTTGGAAGAGTCCGCCATCTAACCTTTCATGGATGATATTCAAATTATGATAACGTGAGTTGACATGAAATTATGGTGTATTATGATGATATGATGTACTATGATGCTATGATACACTAGGATGATGATGCATAATAACATGATGACAGGATGATGATATGACAATATGATGATATCTCACGCTAAGATGATGTGCATGTATGAGATATTATGTTGCATTATGATGAAAAGTTTTCTAATACACAACTCTTAAATGATGTTATAAATGATGAATACATGAAGACTTATGCATACATGTTACCTAGAGTAACATGTAAAGGATGTGTGAGGTCATGATTTAAGATGAAAATTTTTATATGATGAGTACGGACGTGTATACTATGATAATGATCATCATCATGCCTTACATGATATTCTAGGGTTTGTGAGCCATGTGTAGGAAAGTACTACACATCCAATTTGTCCAAAACCTCTATGACCCCAATAGTATTGCAGTGTTTGCATTCCATGACTCCAATAGTGGGTTAGTATTTCTTAAAATATTCCAACCATATACTACTTTTTAGCCCTATGTAAATGTTCTAATAAATGATGAGAAGAAAAACCATAATTATTGCAATATCATTATTGTATTAAATTTGTGCAATATCACTATTGCATTAAATTAGATTGCAATGGTAAATCACTAAATATGGTAAATCACTACCGTCGCAATACATTAAACCAAAAAAAAAAAAAAAAAAAAAAAAAAAAAAAAAAAAAAAAAA